CTCCATTGATATAGATGCTGTTTATTGGTCCAGTGGTGAGGATTTTTGTCTTCTTTACATTGAGGTGCAACCCATACCTAATGCTGTGGTCTTTGATCTTCATCAGTAAGTATTTTAAGTCCTCTTTAATTTCAGCAAGCAAAGTTGTATTGCAGGTTGTTAATGGGTCTTCCTCCAATCCTGATGCCACAATTTTCTTCATAAAATCCAGCTTCTTGGATTATGTGCTCAGTATACAGATTGAATAAGTATGGTAAAAGAATACAATCCTGGCAGACACCTTTCCTAATTTTAAACCATCCTGTGTTCCTAATGGTAGGACACAAATACTGAAAAACAGGGATGGCTCCTTATTCCATTCTTAAGGGGCTCTGAGGCCAACAAGGGTGACAAACACAATTACAAAAATTACTTCATCAATCATAAGAAATCACTTTCCTTCATTTCCATTTAAATGGACAGACAGGGCTGTATTGCCTCCCTTTCCAAACTGTTCTGATCCATTACCACAGTAAGTGACATCTGACTAGCTTTGGACAGGAATATCTTTGACTTGCGTACACAGTGAACATTCTGAAAGAGTAAACATCTCATGACACACAGTGGCACTGAAGTTTTTTCACAGTCAACCCCAAAAGATACTTTTGGTCTTTAGTTAGGATAATGCACTGGACTGCAAGGTCAGTTTGAACCACAAGGTTGGTGGTGCAAACCCACCAGCCACTCCTCGGAAACGCTATATACGGTCGCTATGGGTCAGAAGCAACTCTACAGCATTTAACAACAACATATGACCTGTTGGTCGGATGTTCCTCAACATTGCTGTAAAGGATTCCCGAGGCTTATCAAATAGGCTACTAACTGACACTATGAAATCTTACACTTTTTTTTCTGAAAATGCATAGGACTATGATGAGAAACCTCAGAAGTTATCAAATGTCAGAGATCACAGTGTTCTAGGGCCCTTAGAACTACAAATTATACAAGAGAGTCACAGAAAAAGGTTCTGAATAGAGCAATTTTTGCCCTCTAGAGAAACAAACGGAGTCTAAATGAATTGCTAATAATCTCCATCAGGAATAAAAGCAAAATCCAAATACCATCAAAAGACGAGTTAAGAACTACTGCACAACAAGTTATTTTGCAATATTCCTATTTTTGTTTTTGTGCTTTTTATGGTGAATTGGATAAAGGTTTAAAAGTGCAAATTAGTTTTCTGTTCAACAATTCACACACGTTTCATGTCATTGACTGCAGTCTCCACATTGTAACATCATTTGTCCCCGCCCCCTTCCCATTTCCATTCCTCCCTTCCTAACCTTTTCTGCCTTCTGAATGCTTTCCCTGGACAAATGTTACCCTTTAAATCACAAATGGTGAATTATCCAAGGATTGCATGCCTCCTTAGTGTTATCGTTCATCATATAGACCGGCCCACTGCTTCACTGAGAATTCATTTACTGGGGTGAGTTCATTTCCAGGCCTGAAGGGTGCCCAAGGGCCACAATCTTCAGGTTCCCGACTCTATGCAACTAATAAGCCTGCTTTTTAAAAAATGATTTCTCAATTTTGTTCCACATTTTTTTTCTCACTCTATCCAGGATCTTCCAATGTGATCCCTTTTATAGTGGTCAGTAGTGGTAGCTGGACACTGTCTAGTTCCAGTCTCAGGATCATGGAGGGTGGGTTTGTGTGGTCCATTAATCCATTGGCCTAATTGCTTCCATGTGACTTCGATTTTCTTCACTGTTTTTGCACAGAATGGGGAGACCAATAGTAGCAACTTAGATGGCCACTCACAAGCGTTTCCTTTTTTTACTTTTTATTGTGAATTGGGTGAAGGTTTACAGAGGAAATCAGTTTCCCATCAAACAGTTCACATGCTTTTTGTTTCACATCACTGATTCCAACCACCGCACCGTCCTTCTCCCCCTTTCCATTCCAAACCCAACTGAATGGTCCTTGGGTAAATGTTGTCCTTTTGATCTCATATGGTTGATGATTCTAAAGAGAGCACACCCCCCTAGTGTTAGTGTTCCCCTGTGGCTGAAAACTGAACCATGTGGCAAGTTCAATTCCAGACCTGAAGACTGACTAAGGGCTATAGTCTCGGGGTTTCATAAGTCTCTAACCAACCAGTTAAGTATGGACTTGATGATTTTGAATTTTTATTACTTTGATTTTATATGTTTGAGTTTTATTCTGCATTATTCGCCCACTCTATCCAGGACCTTTTATTGTAATCCCTCTCAGAGCACTTACTTGGTAGTGGTAGCTGAGCATCATCTAGTTCTTCTGATCTCAGCGTAATGGAGAATGATGCTCACATGCTCCATTAGTCCACTGGACTAATAGTGTCCATGCATCTTTGATTTTCTTCACTCTGCTTTGCTTTGGATAGAGAAAGTCCAATCATTTCACCTTAGATGGCTGCTCACAGCTTTTAAGACACCAGTTGCTACTCACTAAAGAAGGCTGTAGAACATTTGTCTTTGTGGACTATGGTATGTCAATTGACCTTCGTGTCCTCATAATATGGTCTTGATTTTTGTCATTCTTCTAGTCTTATAATTGTTCTCTAATGAGCAGTGGATCCTTGTGGGATAAGCAATGGACTGCAAACTACAACAGCGGTGGTTTGAGCCCACCAGTCATTCCACATAAAGATTTACAGCCTCAGAAACCCTATGTAGGGTAGTTATGAACCAGCTCAATGATACTTAACAATAACAATGAATTGTGAAATCTTAGAGTGTGGGCAGGACCTGTGACTTGCTTCTAACCAACAGAGAGAGTATAATGAAGGTGACAGACTGTGTTTCATGATGTTCCATAGATTACAAGGTCCAACTCACAGAGACTCTCATTGCTGTCATTGAAGAAGCAATGGGTATGTTGAGAAGACCCATGTGACCAAGAACTTAGGGAGGGTGGCCACTAATCAACAGCCAGTTAAAAACTGAGGTCCTCAGGCCAACAGTCCACAGTGAATTGAAGGCTCTGAGCAGCCACAAGAAGGAATGGATCTTTCCCCAGTCTAGTCTAGTCTGAGCCTGCAGCCCCAGAAAACACTGGGACTGCAGCTTTACAGAGGACCAATGAACCTGTGCCCAGACTCCTCACCCATAAAAGCTGTGAGAGAATGACAAGTGTGAGCTATCTGAAGCTTCTAAGCTTGTGAAATATTATACAGTAGATTCCTATAACATATCTCAAAACACGCTTTAAATTTTTAAAACATTTTTATTATAAAACTAATACAAATAGGGTAAATAAAACTAAAATATAAGAAAAAGACTAAGTCATCCATTTACTACCTTGGTATCCCACTACAACCACAGTTAGCAATTTGACTGACTTGGTCATTTATCTACTCTATGCTTGCGGCATTAGTTACAGCTATAATCAGACCCATCCATGTACCTTTGTTCTTGATTCTTCACTTAATATTTAACACTTCTTCATAGTATCCATTATTCATTTATAATGAGTATCTTGGTAGTGTAGTGGGTTACGAGTTAGGCTGCAAACTGCGAAGTCTGCAGTTCAAATCTACCAGCCACTCTACAGAAGATGAGACTTACATATCTCATAAAGATTTACAACCTTAAAAATCCTATACAGGGTTGGTTTGGGTCAAACCGACTCCACAGCACATCACCATCATCCTGGTGTGGAGCTGTAGGATCAGCACCAGACTGCAAACCACAAAACTGGCAGTTCAAACCCACCAGCTGCTCCTCAGAAACCCTACACAGGGTCACTATGAGTCGAAACCAACTCGACAGCACTTAAAAACAACATATGCGTATATATGCTATTTTAGTAGACCAGGGGCTGGCATAGGGATCAAATTTGGGCCAAGACCTGATTTTTTACAGTTCTCAGGAAGAATAACTGTTTTGCCTTTTTAAGGACTGGAAACAAACAAGAATGCAAGAGTGCCAGTATAAGATTCGCAAAGCCTGAAATATTTACTACCTGGCCCTGTAACAAAAGTATTTTTAAAAAGGCCCTTAGAACAGAGGTTGGCAAATAATGGCTGTGCATTTATAAAGCTTTCTTGGAACAAAAACACATGTCCATTTGTTTACATATGATCAGTGGCTGCCTTTACACGCTGCCTTTACACTACAAACAACGGAGTTGAGAAGTTGTGACCAATACTACATGGCCATGAAGCCTAAAATATTTACCACCTGGCCTTTTACAAAACAACAGAAAAAAATTGCAAATCTCACTATTAAAATGTTTAAGTCTTTATAATTTGGGATATTACAAGTCATGTGTATACAATTTTTCAGACTCTGGACAACTTAATTGCGAGAGATGAATAAAAGGGGAACCGAACAGTCTGGTTAATAAAGATACTTTAAGGCTGCTACTATCCCACACTATCTCTTGTAATAGTCTTGGTCTGATATAATAAGGGTGGTGGTTATAAGAATGAGAAAGAAGATCCAGTACTTTTCTGGTCCCTATGCATTTAGACATACTAGTTTATACTCCAGATGCACATATTGTCAGTTTAAACTTTAAGTCAACAAAAGAGAGAAATAAGAGTAATTGCAACATGAAAACCAATTGAGATGAACAAGCAGGCAGAAGTAAACAAGAATGCCACTCAAAGCTAACAGGCTTTGGGAGAGTTTCATAAAGGAAAGAGGTGGCAGACTCAACAATGAGCCAGTGGTGCTCCAATGAAGAAAAGATTGGAGTGGAGTAACACAGGAAACACAAGTGCCATCTTTCCGAACAGCTGTTTGGCTTACATCGGTAATTACACTGTTTCCAGAGAAGAAAACTCTAGAGTAATGATTCTATACTTTTTAATAAAAAAACATGCTTCTACCTAGAAGTGTTTATATTCTTCAGAAAGAAAACTTATAGAATGGGCAGCTAAATCAACCCCGACTATCTGTGAGATAAAAGATAAAGCAATGGATGGGTCTCAAATCCAATCTCGTACGAACAAAAGTAACCAGCAGGAAACATAGCTGTCATCTTCTAAGTGAAATATTCTGCAACATTTAAAAAAAAAAAAAGACAAAAAACAAAAAACATTAGGTTGGACCACTTCCACCATAGATAATGTAATTTAAAAGCAAAATCAGGAAGCCATCTAATACAACTTAACAAATATAAAAATTTGTTAAATAATTGTATATATTTTTAATTTACTAAAATATACTTCTCAAGCTGTCAAGTGACTTAACATTTCATTAAGAAGTGTTATTTAGGTTAAAATTAGTTTTAAGTATTCATGTTTATGTTCCATCTCAGTTACAGATTAAATAATTGAATACATAATCACTTGAAATACTCTGGGAAACTATGAATTTTTTTATACAGTAAGAGAACTTAATTATTTTTGCAGAAATAAATAGGAACATATTACTTTGAAAGAAAAATAGCCATTTCTGAGGTACGAAAGTAAAACAACTTTTTCTTGGATGTCTTCATATTGCAAAAGACATGATAGTTCAATCAATGGTTTTAAACACACTTAAATTCACCTCATACTTTCCCCCGTTTTCTATCAGTTACCTGAAAACTTACCTGAGAGTCCGGCAGCATAAATCCATCTGTGAGCTTATAATAGACTATTGTGGAATCAGACTCCACAATGGCCAAAGTAAATGACATCGGCAAATCTGGGTCACCTTGCAATTTTCGAGATGCCTTTAAGATCTCCCTTATCCTGAAAACAAAGTCACAGTATATTTAGGATCCACACAACCACTCCATTAATGACAAATTTAAATTCTATAAAATAAGGAAAGTGGGTGAGCAATTATGTTTGTACTGGGTTAATAGTATACCCCCAAAAGATATGTCCAAGTCTCTTTCATGTACTGTGTTGTTTTATTGTTAGATGCCATCAAGTTGGTTCCAGTTTATACCAACCCGTCCTGTACTATTATCACAATCGTTGCTATGTTGAAGCTCATTGTTGTAGCCACTGTTTCAATTCCATTTCCTTGAGGGTCTTCCTCTTTTTCACTGACCCTTAGTAATCTTCTGGTTCAACTCTTGTACTTAACCATTCCTTTTATTTGATTTAGCTATTCAGTGTTCAAGAGCAAGTTTCAGAGTCTCTTCTGACATTCATCTTAGTCTTTTGTCATTTTAAACCTTTTGCTTTCTTCAATTATGATGTCCTTGATATCAGACCACAAGGCATCCATCTAGTCTTCATTTGTTGCTGTTGTTAAGTGCTGTTGAGTCTATTCTGACCCATAGCGACCCTATATAGGGTTCCCAAGGAGCAGCTAGTGAGCTTGAACCACTGACCTTGTAGTTCAAACGACGCTACAGTCTGACACATGAACCCACAGCACCAAACCAAGACTCCCAGTCTTCAATTACTAGTGGTCAATGTGTCAAATCTATTCATGAGATGATCTCTAATTCAGATGGGATATACTTCAGGTTGTACTTTGGCTCTTTTGAACAGGTTTTAATTTTCTTCACCTCAGCTTGAACTTGCATATGAGCAATTCATGCTCTGGTCTGCAATTGACCCCATGGTTTTATTCTCACAGATAATGCTGAGCTTGTCCATCATTTTCCACAGATGTAACTGATTTGATTACAGTAAGGTCCATGTGTACAGTAACTATTTTTATTGATTAAAAAAAGTTATTTCCAATGACTATGTTGTTGGTCTTGCAAAATTCTATCCTGTGACCTCCAGCATCATTTCTATCACCAAGGCTGTATTTTCCAACTACTGATCCTTCTTCTTTATTTCCAGTTTTCATATTACAATCACCAGTAATTATCTATACATGTTTGATCAATTTTTGATTATAGAACTTGGTAAAACTCTTCAATTTCTTCACGAGTAGTATTAGTAGTTAATACGAGTAGTATTAGTGTGTAAATTTTCATAATAGTCGTATTATCAACGAAGTGATATTATCCTATCACTGACAGTGTTGTACTTTAGGACAGATCTTGAAATATTCATTTGGCAGAAAATGTTACACCATTCCTCTTTGATTTGTCATTCCTTGAGTAATTGACTATCTGTCTAATTCAAAACGGTTAACACAAGCCCATTTCACTAATGCCTAGGATATCAATCTTAAAGCATTCCATTTCATTTTTGACAATTTCCAATTTTCCTAGATTCATACATTCCACATTCCAATTATTAATGGATGCTTTCGTTGTTTCTTCTCATCTTAAGCCATGTCACATCAGCAAATGAAGAGCCTGAAAGCTTTACACTATCCATGTCATTAATGTTGATTTTACTTTTAGTGGTGGCAGCATTTTCCCATTTGTATTTTCAGTGTCTTCCAACCTGAGGGCCCATCTATGAGATAATTCTCCACTGTGATTCATAAAGTGGCCAATGCTTTTAGAAGTAGAGTGCTAGGTTCAGAAGTGGGTGACTTTAAAGAATACAAATTCATTTTCTCACTGTTCAGTAGGCTTAAAGTATAAATTTAGTGCATGGTTCTGTGAGGAGGTCCTACATTATTTCAGCTTCTAGCTGTTGTTGCAAAGTGTTGTCAAGTCGGTTCCGACTCAAAAAGACCCTGTATAGGGTTTAGCTCTGGTACCGTAGCGGTTACGAATCAGGCTACGAACTGTAAGGTCAGCAGTTCAAAACTATCAGCTGTTCCGTGGGAGAAAGATGAGGCTTTCTGCTCATGTAAAGATTTACAGCCTCGGAAACCCTGTACAGGGTCACTATGAGTCGGAACCGACTCCACGGCACATAACAACAATAATAGGGTTTGTGAAGAACGACTGGTGGGTTTGGATAGCCGATTTTGCAATTAGCAGGCCAGTGCTTACCTTACAGCACCACCCAGAACTGCCAGTAATCCTGGCAGATGCATCTGTCACTAATGTGTGTGTCTTGATCTTCCCTCTGTATGTTTTTATGTCCATTCTACTCTACTGATAAACCCAGAAGAGATTAGAAACACTCTACTGGAGTATGTCCTAAATAAAATAATAAAGAAAACACATTTCCAAACATTCCATTTAGAGTATGTTGCTGTTGTTAAATGCCGTGGAGTTTGTTCCAACTCACAGTGAGTCCTATGTAGGGTTTCTAAGGAGCTGCTGGTAGCTTTGAACCACCAACCTTGCAGTTATCAGTCCAGCGTTTATCCTACAGTGCCACACCAAGACTCCACGTTTATAGGTATAGAGGCCAAGATTTAATACATAAGGGGGTGTGGGAGGAAAAAGAAGAGACAGTTCAATCCATTTTGTTGTTGTGAGCTATTTATTACTTTCAGGTTGTTGTGTTTTTGTTTTTTGTGTTTTTTTTGCATTCACATCTCTCCTGATCATCATGCCTGAGATCATCTAACTGTACTTATAAACCTAGAGATTAGAATTCAAGGGATACTATCATATTTTTATACAAAAAAAAAATGTTTGAGTTACGTTTCTTGCCAACTATGGAGTCCTGGTGTGGCGCTATGGGATAAAGCACTGGACCTCAAGGTCAATTTGAACCACAAAGTCCGAGGTTCACACTCACCAACTGCTCCTTGGAAACCCTATACAAGGCCACTATGAGTTAGAACTAACTTGAAGACATTTTACAACAGAAAATGCCCCCAAATAAGGTATTTTAAGTGTGTTGTACTAATTGTTTTCACCAAAACACGTACAAAATTAGCACAGGAGAGTGTCATGTAAAGATACTTGAGCAAAAAATATTTATCTGCATAAAAAATACAGTAATAGTGTTTAGTGCATCTAAACTGGCTAAGGACCCTTGGTATCCATTTTCCAACTTTCCAACTTGGCCTCTTATTGTAGATCATAATTTGGTTGCCTTGTTTGTATTTTTTCAGTAAACCGTAGTAAGCATTTCCCCTACGGTCTTGGTAATTACTACTTTTAAAATCTAAAATTCCATTAACTTGATAAAATTTTACCCAATCTTTCTACTACTGCTGTATAGTTCTTTCAAACTGGGGGAGAAGGGGCATGTGGGGAAAAGAGTGTTAATAAAGATAGCCTGAAATGATCATCTTAATGGTTTCCTTTTTGCTAATATTATGTACCAAGCAATTGATGTCACAAAGGATTTGATTTCAATTTGCTTGCTGAGAAAAATAATATACCAAATTCAATATGTAGGTCCTCAAAGTACTATGAGTCTTTGTTTACCATAAACTGAAAACCTTTCGTACTTACTCAATAAAGCCTGTGTTGAATAATTCAGTAAAATTTAACCTCCAAAGGAATTTTCTTTAAAAGGCAAATAAAAAATGATTGCTTTTTATTGGTGGTGGGTTTTTTGTTTGTTTTTTACTTTTTCATTAAGCCAACAAATTCTCCAGAAATTGGAAAAAGATTTACTAGCATATTAGCATTCTACAGCTGAATACACAAACTAGTCAACAGTATTTTCTCTTTAGTTAAAGTATTTGCCCTCTTAAGTCTGTCTCTACTTCCCAACCCTAAGTAAAAACTCTGTGATCACGTATCACTCATCCAATTAGCTACTGAATCTATAAGGAAAAGCCTGTGCTTTAAAACATTCTTACCACAATTACAATACTTTTAAAAAAAATTTGTAGTAGAGATGACAGATTTTAAGAGTAATTTAAACCAGCAATAAACATCTAGAAAAACTGAAACCAATTTTTTCTTGCTACAAAATCACCTCTTGGGGTGGTACTGTGGACTGCAAAGTTGGTTACCACAAGGTCAGCTGTTCAAGCTGACCAGCCGCTCCTTGGAAACCCCACAGAGGGTTGCTATGAGTCAGAACTGACTTGACAACACTTAACAACAACAAAATCACTTAATCACCAGTGTTCACTATTGTTAAGTCAGTGCCCAACATTTGGTAGCCATGTGAGCAACAGAACAAAACACTTCCCATTCCTACACTAACCCATGATTGGTTGAAGACTGAAACCTAGTAATCTACATGGTTTTCAATGGCTGCTTTTTGGAAGCAGATTGCCAGTCCTTGCTTCCTAGTCTGTCTTATTCCGGAAGTGCTGCTCAATTTTGTCCAAAACCATTGATAGAAGAGTGGTTGCTATGCATACGGTAGAGTGGCTGACACTCTACCCACATGTTAAGGCAAGAATCCTATAACTGAACCACCACTGCAAGAGTGATCATTGGTTTGCTAAAACACCAGTCACAAAAGCAGCTCACTCACCTACCATTTACATTTATGTTGTTGTTGTTAAGTACTGTGGAGGCAGTTCCAACTCACAGTAACCCTGCACAGGGTTTCTGAGGCTATAAATCTTTATGGGAGTAGAAAGCCTCATCTTTCTCCCAAGGAACGGCTGGTAATTTCAAACTGCTGACCTTGAGGTTAGCAGTCCAATTCGTAACTACTAAGCTATCAGAGCTCAAAGGCATACAATTATTTTTGGAGAAAATGAGATCTAAATTTCTTTCCATATATCCACAGACAACATGATCCTAGATATAAAAAGGAGTCCTGGTGTGGCGCTGTGGTTTAATGCACCAGACTGCAAAGCCATTTGAACTACAAGGTCAGTGGTTCAAGCTCACTAATAGCTCCTTGGAAACCCTATACAGGGTTGCTATGGGTCGGAAGCGACTCAGTAGCACTTAACAACAACAACATACATAAAAAACCTTGAAGAATCCACAGAAAGCTACTAGAGATAATGAATGAATTCAGCAAAGAAGCAGGGTACAAGATCAACACACAAAGATCAGATCGGT